ATTTCTCTCCCTATCATGTGCATGTTTTTCTTTATCTTCTTGAACATATGGTATGATTTATAATATTTACAATATCTGTTATAATGTCCTGTTTTACTAATTCTACCATCTGTATTACTTCTGGGTCTGTTTCTATTGCTTGGTTTTTCTATGCTTTATGGACTGTATTTTCCTGCTTCTGTGCATGCCTGGTAATTTTTGATTAGATGCCAGACATTGTGATTTTACATGGTTTGGTGTTTTATTCATTTTTATTCCTTTAAATATCTTTTTTCTTCCCTTGGGACACAGTTAAGTTACTTAGGAATATTTTGATTTTTTAAGACTTGCTTGAAGCTTTCTTAGGCGTATCTTTTTAGTCTGTTGCTGATTGGAGCCATTACTGAGGATGCCGCACCTGTTCCTTTCAGGTGTCCTTTCCTTGGAATCAGGGTTTCCTCACACACACATGCTGATCTATACTCATAGACTCAAAGAGAAATCCCAGCAGATTTCTGGAGAACTTTTCTGTGTAGCTGTCTTTTCTCTGGAGGTTTGCCTTATGAATTCTAACTGCCTTGGCCTCCTAAAACCTCAAAATTCTCTCTTCAACTCGTGGAGACCATCAGGCTCTTCCTGAGTTTCTCCTTCCTGTGCTATGAAAGAGAAAGTTCTCGAAGCAATAAGCTCAGGCTCACCTCATTTGTTTCTCTTCTCTTGGGCATCACTGTCTAATTATGCTTGTCGTCCAGTGTCTGAAAACTGTTGTTTCATATATTTTGTTTGTTTTTAGTTATTTAAGGTGATAGGTAAATTCAGCCCCTATTAATCCATTGTGGTCAGCATTTACACTCTTAATCATCATGCTACATGTCCTTCTGAATTTATATTCTCAGATCCTTACACTTAGGTCTACACAGTTGGTTCTCATTCAGATGGAAGGACTTTGCTATGTCAAACACAGGGCTGAAAACTTCAGAACCGTGTACTTCAGGGTTCTGGGCTGTGCAATTTTATTTTCAAATCATCCTTGGAAATTTTGTGGGTAATTTTTCAGCATTTAAAGTTGTATATGCAATTAAAATTATAATTTTCTGTCAGTTCCTTGGGGATAAAAAAGCATGAGGTGTTAATGTGAAACATAAGGTCTCATTTTCCTAGTGGTAGGGATAGTGGTGCACAAATAGAAACAGATTTAAATATTCCCCTGAGATAAACAAATAGGTATTACAAACAAAATAATTAAAGTGGTTTGTAACAAGCAAGCAAATGAGTCCTGTGAAGGATCAGCCGCTATTATATTTATTTTTCTGTTTGAATATCTGCCTGGGGATTAAGCTGCAGATTAAAGGGCCCAACTGGCTTTTAAAAATTTAACAACAGAATGAAAAGCATTGGCTTTGTGTTATGGGGATAGTAACTTAGGTCAAGTTTTAATATTAAAATTTTTGAGGTTCATTTTGTGTGTGTGTGTGTGTGTGTGTGTGTGTGTAATTCTGAAGAGCTCCCTCCTTCCTCCCCTTTTTCCTTTTCTCCCTTCCTCTCTTCTTTCCCCCTCGCTCTTTCCTCCTTCCCTTCCCTTCTTCCTTCATCAACTTTAGATTACTGATGCAATGGTTCAGAGGAAGAAAATAAACTTTATTACTTCTCCAGAGATGGAATACTGCTGGTATCACACAGATATTTGATAGATCTAGGTCTTTCTAAGAAATAAAAGGAAATGACTAATAATGTGATTGCATAGCCCTATATAAGTTTAGAAATCTATATAAATGTTTAATAATATTTTCCCCTGATACCAGAAATTTTTACTGAAGTCTTACAGATCAGACAAAACTTCTTTGTGCTTGAGTTTTGCATGAGCTTTGCCAAAATGTATATTTAGATAAAAGATATCCTTACCACTTTAATTGCCATTTTGAAAATTTTTCCTCATTATAAAAATTTATCCTCTTTGCTACTCACCCCAGCTTGGAGTCAGACCTCTGCAGCAATTTTCTGTTTTCAATAAAATATTTCTAAGAAGCTTAAAAGGTACAGAGATATAAGAAAGCACCCACATGTCCACCAGTCAAATTTTGCTATATTTGAGATCTCATATTTTAAGAAATTGACCATTTTAGATACAATGGAAATCTGCTCTGCACTCGATTACAAGTCCCATAGATTCAGTATCAGTCCAATTGTTTTTGGCTACGGTAACAGAAAGATCTGAATCAAATTTCCTTGAATGATCTCAGAATGTATCATTTCGTTTTATAGAATGCTCAGAGGTAGGTCATGACATTTCAGGGCAGGATGGTTCAGAGTCCAGACAGCATCCTCAGGAGCCCTGTTTTTGCAGTGTGATAGCCCTGTCCCTGGGCGAATCTGCCCATGACCTGAGACTCCAGAGGCAGAAAGTGCTGTCTCTTCCAGGTCTTCTTAGGAATGAGCAGACCTTCTCAGACTCCAACACGGAGAAGCTCCTGACATATCAACAACCAGAAATGGCACATACTTAATTCACCGATTGAAAGCAAAATTGTCCCTTTTGCAGAGGACACACAGGAAGAGAACGAGATCTGATTGCCCCTGTTTAGGGGGAACATGTGTCTTCAGCCACAGTCTTGTTGTACTGGAACCACAGACAATGAACTTCTCTCATCTGCATCCTGTGCTCGGGCAGGGCTTTGGCCACCAGGGCAGCCGAGAGCGGTGCCAAGCTTGCACCTCCAGGCTCAGCTGTCCCCTCTGCCCCCTCCCAAAGCCCACCTGTGTTCTGGGCCCTTCCATCTGCTGGTCCTGAGCTGTGGACATTTTCCAACTGCCCCACTTTGGCTTGTCTGTTGGTTCTGATACAAGATCATCTTCCTTTGAACAGACTTTTGTCTGAAATACAAAGTTTAGTAATTGAAGCCCAAATTCAATATGTAATAGTGCTTTAATTCTTTTGCAATCCTTGTAATTCAGTATATTGGGGAACAATTGATCGTTCTAAAAGGACACAATCCTTAAGTTTTACTTTCTCCCAGATGTACCACGTGGTTTCAACTGACCAGGCTTCTCACAGTCAGCTTCTTAATAAGACAGTTCTGACATGCTTTGGTTACCATCATATCCTTAAAAATGTTACTTTCTGGTTTAAATGATTTTGAAACCACTGTTCGCTAATTTCTAACCTCGTTAATTCCCTTTGTACCATCACAGTGTCTCAAAGCTGGACAGTGTCATCTGGAAAAAGAAGGATTTAAGATCTATTTTAAGACATAGTCATTCTCAGTTAAAAATATGATCTTGCAACCAACCACTGGTCCAATCACTTCTTAGAGGCAGTCCATGAACCAGAGCGTTTTTTGACCGACTGTCCTTCTCTCCCCACTGAAACCCTTCGTTTAGATAAACAGCCCCCAACTTATAACAGGTTGACTTTTAATTTTTTCACAGTACGATAGTGCTAAAGCCAATAGGGATTCAATTGGTAGAAACCATACCATGAGTACCTATGAAACCACTCTGTTTTTCACTTTAAGTACATTATTTAATAAATTACATGAGATATTCAACACTTCATTGTAAACTCGGCTTTGTGTTAGGTGATTTTGCCCAACCGCAGCGAACGTCAGTGTTTTGAGCATGCTTAAGGCAGGCGGGTTGAGCTGTGACGGTAGGCAGTGGTAGGTAGGTTGGATCAGGTGTATCAAATGGTATTTGCAACTTAGGACGGGTCTGCCAGGACATAACCCCGTGGTAAGCGGGGGAGCATTTGCGGGCACCAGTTTCCATCTTTCCGTGGCTCCTGTGCGCCTCCCGGTGGAGCCTGGCGCTCTCCTCTGCCCTCGCTTCCTCCTCTTGGACTCTCCAGGTCACAGCCAGAGCTTTTCAAAAATGTAAAGCGGAGGCGGCTGGTTCGTGCCCAGCTCCTTTCAAGGGCTCTACTTCTCCCTGGGTGTGGGCTCGTTAGCTGGGGTACGGACCCCGTCCCCACGTCTGGCGCTGAGTCTGGCTCTAGTCCCACTCGGAGCGCCCCTCCCGCGCCCCTCCCAGGCCCCGCTGGGCCAGCCAGCGCCCTGCGCCTCCCGGCTGGGGAGGCCTGTGGCACCGCACACCGCCTGCTGCTGCCCAGACAGGGTGCCACCCCCCTTCCAGCGCCACCAGCTCCTCAGCCGCACCCCCACACCGGCACTCCCCGACCAGTCATCCTCCGGCTTCAGTGCGCGTCTGAGCCCTATGGAAGCCTCGGCCTGCGGCCCCTTTGCTGTCTCTGTGCTTGGCGGCGCCCATTTTCCGTGGCAGGATGGCAGCGGCGGCAGCGTCTACCTGGCGGCACTCCTAGGGGTGTCGCGGGCACTGAATAGGTGGGCCGGTGTGTGCGGAGAGCCTGGCGCGTGTCTGCCACGGGAAGCGCGGGGTCGCCCGCGCCCCGGACTCGGCACCTTCCATCCCGTGATGCCCGCGAGGTTTGCAGGGTGGGGTCAGGCTGACGTGTCCCCCGTGTCCCCAGTGCTTAGTGCGGAGCCAGCCTCGGAGAGCGGGCAAGATTTTGTGGAGCGAAGGAGTGGAGGGATGTATTTTCAAAATTTGTATACAAATGTTTTAATAAAATATTATGTAATTATGAAAGAGTTCAGGGAAGCTCGTTGCATTTTTATCAGCTATTTCAGAGAAAGGCAGCTTCCCTGTCTCAGCCAGGCGGGGGGCTCCCAAAGGGAAAGGCGGCCTTGGTGTCTGGCCGCTGCCTGCCATGCCACTGACAGCCGTGCCACCTAAGAGCCTGACACCGTGGAACCGGTGTGCCGTGGCTTATCCTTAGCCGTCTTTCTCTGGCCTTCAGGGAGAATGTTGACTAATCCTGTTTGTACCGTGAGGATAGCAAGTATTATTTGTAAATAAGCAACTAATGAACTGTGTGGCCTGGGCCCAATCTTTAACCTCTCAGGCATTGGATCCCGAGGCCATGGGTCTCTAGACGTTTCCTCACAGGCCTTTTGCAGAGGCGGTTCTGGAGTTGATGGTAAGCCTGGGTCTGGTTGTTTTTCTAGGAAATCAGCGACCCGGAGATCCTGGACCTGGTCCACAGTGCCCTTGGCAGGATGACCGTGGTCCGGCAAATCTTCCCGTCTGCAAAGGACAATCAGAAATGCATGAGGAACAACCACCGCATCTCCTCCCTGCTCTGCGACCCCCAGGAAGGCTACCTCCAGATGCTGCAGGTCAGTGCGCTGGCTCGCTCCGCGCAGGCGTCCCACCACGCCCTCGGCCTGCCGCGGGAGACACGGGGCGCCATTGCCCACCGGCTTTAATTACCTAACTCTGTCATTTGCTGAAATTGAAACCGGTCGCCTGGGCAGTGTCTCCAGCGGCATTAGCAGGCAATTATGCCTGTTGCCGGCAGACAGGGACTATTGGCTCACTGGGTGCCTCTGGTATTTAAAATTTACATCCTTAGGGGGTAAAGAGATGCCTGTCTCCGAGGCCCTTGTGCTGACTGCTTTGTGGGGATGGAGTCATACTTCAGGAAGTCATCATTTTGAACCTCTTTTAAAAGGCTCTTCCTAACACAGACATGGCTCTTGCAAAACAAGTGGGGACTGGTCTGCACATCTGCTGAGTGCTGAGGCTTCGGTCACCCAGGACACTGCTGGATTCCCAGCTGGGCAGGGAGGGACAAGAGAGCAAGACCATGACCTGCCCACCTGCCCTGTTCTTTCCAGGGCCAGAGATACCCAGTGTCTGTGGTCAGTCCTTCGCCCCCTTCCCCAGCACGAGTGCAATCTGTATCAGCTTGCCCTGGGGACTTCGGGTAGGATGGAGAGCGACGTGCCTGTTGTGGGCGGTGGTTTTTCTCTGGATGTTTGGGAGCAATGAGGAAGAGTGTGGCCAGTGCTTCTCCATGAGGATTGTCGTGCATAAGAAAATTTTCGCTGATGCTCGGTGGGAGCCACAGGACGAAGGAAATTTCTCCCACTTAGATTTGTGGGAATTACCCAGAAGCTTGTGCCTGGGATGTACTTGCCAGTCAGCATTTGAAACTGGTCGCAGCTACTTTACCCAGCCAAGAGGGAGGAGTAGAAACCAGGGTTTGAGGACAGAGACAGCTGTATCTGCCACATGAGTGTCAGCCCCACCCCAGAACATTTGAGTATCACCATATCGGGGCCCACACGTTTTGGGGAGGGGATTATTGGAATCTTGAGCAGGCTGTGGACATGTGTAATATGGCAAAGTATTGAATCTACTCTGTAGTCTTAGATTTGAGGGGAAAAAAACAAAACATGCCTCAGTAGAAGGTAAACATGAAAAATATGTTCTTGGTTGACGGAGAGACACAGCAGACACTGATTTTAGCTGGAATATTCCCACTCTGCCAGTGCCCAATCCTCCAGGAGCCCATCAGAATGTCTGGAGAATTTCTGAAGTGCTGGAGGGTCAGCCAAGAGAGTGGACCTGAGGCCTCTGCAGGACCCGGCGACTTGAGTGCCCAGAGCACATGGGTCATGGGACAGGCCCTCAATGAAAGACTTTGTACTTTGTGATGCTGCTGGTCTGTTCTGCCCTCCTCCTCTGTGGGGTTTGGAAGCTGTAACGAGGGCCAGACAAGTCCCCTCCTTGGGCCTTTGTATCCATAGCTCCAACACTCTATGTGGACAGAGGTGGCATTAGACAGTGGCAGTGTGCACCCACCCTCACCCAGTGCAGGAGGAGAGGGGATCCCTTCACTACCTGAAAGGTCTCCCCAGCTTCTCCCCACCTCAAAGGGCTTTATCCCTCCCCAGATACACGCCATCTTGCCTTGTGTCCTGTGATTCATTCCTCCAGTTTTTGCTCCATCAAATTGCACTCAGTCCACTTGGAGCCCAAAGACGGGGCCGCTGTCTGCTGCACAGGGGTGCACAGCACAGGTGGGCCTCGGGGAGGGGAAGGTGTTTCTCCCCAAGGGCTATGATGCCTCCTTTTGCAGTGGGCTGTGAGGTGCAGATGGGCTCTGCGGTTGCATGTCAGACAGGTGGGATGCAAAGAATCTGTCCTCTGGAGGGGAGAAAGAGAGGGAGACAGAGGACACTGCTGCGGGGCCCAGCCAAGGGCTTACTCAGTGACACACGCCCAGGAGGGGGAGAAACAAAGGTGCAGCTCTCAGGTGTGCAGCTGGACATCATTGCATGAGACAACTGAGGCATCAGACCTAGGAGCCCTAGGGACACCCTGCCTCTCTCTTGCCGGCTGAGACCCGGGCACTATGTAAAGAGCAAAGTTTAAGAGCAACGCTAAGGGATCTTGTGGTGACAGCAGCGGCAGAACAAGAGCCAGATTGCCAGGGTTCAGATCCCAGAAACTCTAATTACTAACTAATTATTTCATCATTATTATTTATTTGTCATTCTGTGCCTCAGTTTTCTCCTCTGTAAATTGGTAATACTAGATTATTACCTAGATTATTACCTATTACCAGTAATAGGTAATGTTAGAATATTACCTACCCCCTCGAGTCATAATGAAAATAAAATGAGAGAACACATGGAAGGCATTCAGTACAGGACTGAGCTATTAGCAGTACAGGCTGAGTATCTCTAATCTGAAAATCTGAAACCCTGTGAAATCCAAAAGTTTTTGAGCACCGACATGATGCTCAAAGGAAATGCTCCTGCAAGTATTTTGGATTTGGGGTTTTTGGATTAGGCATGCTCAACCAGTATACTGCAAATATTCCAAAATCTGAAATAAAACCCCAAATCTGAGACACTTCTGGCCCCAAGCATTTCAGATAAGGGATATTCAACCAGTTACTATCATTACTGACAAGATGGCCAGGTTCCTTTGCATGGAAAGGCTGAGCATAGCCTCGTTTGTTTATTTATTTATTTGGTATGATATAGTTTCCCTTTCTTCTTGAGCATGCTTTTTAAAAGCATCACTGCTGGTGGGAGAGCAGGTCCCATTTGTCTAGTGCCTTATCACAGGCTTTGTGCACCACTTCCTGTCCACATCACTCCCGTGGGCACTTGATCATAGCTGCCGTGCTTGGGAGAAGAGAGGACATGTCATTTAGTCCCAGGTAGCTCTGCAGTTAAGATCCTGCTCGTTGAAGATCTCTAGTGCGGGCTTACGGGGTGGAACTGTTAAGGATGCAGGTTGTAACACAAGCTAACCACCCCCCATATATATAATATATATATAAATGAAATGCTTTATTAAAAGAATCTCTATCTCCATTTGTTGCATGTTGCATGTGCACCCTTGTGAGGCAGGGATGATGAGAGGGAAATGTGGATTTATTTACTCATCCTGCCCAGCGACCACTCGGGCAGCTTGTAGATCCATCTCATTTACAAGCCATTCCCTTCCAGTTTCCTCGGGAGCTATTACCACTTCTTTCTTCTTAATGACAGTGTGGAAGGCAAACTAATTTCTACTAGCCTCTAGCTGTGAGATTTATCGAGAAGGCTCTAACATGTTTAGAACAACTAACTCAAGGAAAAAAGAAACCATTTATGTCATGGATTATTAACTTCGTCTTGATGAAATTAATGAAAATCCTTTTGGAAATGGAGCTCTCTAGTCCATCTTTAGATTTTCTCCCCTGCACACAGGGTGATAGTTCTGATTTAGAAGTTTCTGGGAGGACCTTTAAGACCAGGGACTTTTTGGAAGATCATCCATCTCCTGGCTTCTTCTGCTGAGCTGGCCTCAGAAACTCAGTCTTCCTCTATTCGGCCTGTGGTTAGGGCTTTCTATGCTCTAGTGCCAACCAGGAGCTATTATAGCAAATCAATTTGGTTCCTATTTAGCAGATAGAAAGTCCCTTGGAAGAAAAATACCTAAATATGTGGCTTCTTAGTGGCTCCAAAAACATTGCATTTGCTGGCGTTCAGTACTGTTGTTTATTTTTCCCTACAAAGCACTGTCTTATTTGGGTTTTTCTCACTCTTGTTTTCTTGGCAAGTTAGTTTAGGGCTTGTCTGACTCAGCCAGTAATAAAAGTGATAACCAGTCCCTCAGAACCTGGAGACTTTGCTAAGGTTTCACGGACATCTTTGCTCAGAGGAGAATCTGCAGCGTACTCTGTCTTTGGAACTGCATTGCCTGGCGACTTCAGGGCTGCAGTTGAAGTAACAGACATATTATCACACTACCACCCCGTTTATATTCAAATGTGTTTCCAAAGGGTGACAGGCAAAATGATATAAAATGTGTTGTCTGGTCACTGTGGAGCCTGATCCCTGAATTAAGCTGTGAGGGCTAATGTGGCATTATTATAAAATGCTCCCTCAGGTTGGAATTTCTCTTCTTTGTGCATTTTAAAATTGTTGAATGGCTTGATGGAATCACTTCTCCCCCGAGCTCGATCTATTAAAGCATTTCAACACCCCTCCCCACAACATCCCTGTTTCTTTAGGGCTTTCATACTCTTCCCTGGCTACAAGTTTTTTATCAACCTGTCAGTGGAAGCATTTCCTTGAATTTCACGTCACTTTCAATGTTGTACTTAACCCTAAAGATTCAGACAGGAGCATTTAACCAGGAGAGCGGGGAAGCCTTTGTTGGAGACAGTCACACTGTCTGTGACAGTCACACTGTGTTCTCCTTGGGTGCAGCTGGTGCTGTCCTGATGGCAGGTGGCCATGTGTGCATTTGGTGTGGGTCATGGTGTGGACAGATGCCCCCCTCCACCCTCCACACCATTCACCCAGATTCATTGCTGAGCACAGCTCGCTGCGTCCCCTTTGCCCTCTGCCACCAGCTGCTCCCTCCTGAGGCCTGACCATGGTGCCCTGTCTCAGGACAGGTGGGTCGGCAGCAGTTTGGCAGAGAGTCCTCGCCTGGGGATGGATTCCTCAAGCTGTGACATCTGGGCGTCAGCTTGTTTGCCCAGCTGGACCCTCTGTCGCTGCTTGTCTGACGTTGCCGGCCAACCCGAGCCTGTCTGGGGGCTGGTCAGGGTCAGCTCCTGCTGCTTGCCCCTGTGGTGGCCCCTGGACAGTCAGTCCACTTGGCTTGATTAACGATGGAGGGAAGAGAAAACTGAGCTCTGTAGACGCCTGGAGGAAATGCAGCTTTTCCCGATGAAAACATTTCCCGCACTTCCAGCTTTGGTGTTGGGAGGATAGTGGTCTGGTCTGACCTGGCCTGCGATTCATCTTCCTTTGCCTTCAAGGATGATTTTTTACCGTGGTAATGTGGATGCACAACAACTCCCCGGGCCCTAGAGCACAGC